CTGCATGTGAACTGGCCTTGTGGCTTTGAACTTGTGCTCAGAATGTGTGGTGACTTTGTGATCCACCCAGAGCTTTGCTTTGCTTTGCTTGAGTGGTCTTGTGACCCCTTGTTCTCCCCCACTTTGCCTATGGGGGTGTGTCAAATTATAATGTTGTGTAGGTTGTAGTGGGGTAGCCTATATGGGGTACACATTTCTAGGGTTGCACATTTGTACCACTTTCATTTCTTAGTGCATCATTCTCGTTTCAAGTTTCTCATTCGAATGTCCCGGCTATTGAAGTGTGCGTTGCTCACATCCTGGCACTCCACTGCCATCTCGGAAGTGGGCATATTGAAAGAAACTTCCAGGAAACTTCGTTTCGATAAGCGCGCAGAGTGTACCCCCGATACAAGTCTGATGCTCAACCTACACTTCTAAAATTAGGCTGAAATTTCAGACAACTGATAAAAAAAACCTTTGAAAAATCAGACCAGGTACATATAATTTTTTTTTGACTTCATACTAGGTTCTAAAAAAAAGTTTGAACAAACTCTGAATCAGACTTTAAAGTCTGATATCCAGGGCACTGACTACGGCGTTACGTTTTGACCATGGATGAGCCACGTTGAAAATCTCAGCAGATAGCCATATCGGCTTCAACTGCTGCTGCATTTTTAGCTCAGGGAGTGGAGGCAGTTCCTGTCACACCATTCAAGCAGCTGCCGCGAGTGACGTCAACTCTGATGAGACGTGTTCGCCCTGCTAGGCAGCAACGTCGAACCAGGGCTGCATCTATGGCAAACCAACCTCACTAGCCCAGGAAAGGCAGGTTTGGAGGAGCCAACCCACCAAAGCTGAAAAGAGACAACCAGGATGAGGAGGGATGTATCGAGATATTTCTGAAGTGTCACAACGGCAGAGTAGGGTTTTGTGGCGTGCAAGTTGAATTTTTTAGGCGTTTGGTATACGGTATAAGCCTCTGTAGATCTCTGCAAGGGTATGGTATACACTACCTATGCCCTCTAGCTCCGGTTACGACCGACGGTGTTTTGCGTTGTACGTTGTATAATGCATTGTCACATGCCAAAAAAACATTGTTTCGCAGAATTCCTTTATTCCAGCAATCGGAAATCAAATGCAACCGAGGATTCGAGTTTGTTATGAATGAACTTGAAGAGTGCGCAGTAAAACGAATATCGAGAATGAACTGAATCAAGTTGTTCCATACAATGAGAAAAGCACGACTAAATAGGGGAAGTCCTAGCTAGGCGGAGAGGTTGGGCGAGGGTGGCTCGGTGATGGTTGCGATTGGTGCGGAGGCGACTCGGGAGTGGTTCGGTGCGACGAAATAGGAAGAACAGGTTCGTCGCGTGACCCTCGGGATGGCCTCGCTAACGAGGGCCCCAGTAAGGATTCTGTAAATCCTTACACCCTCCCCCCTTCTAAATAAGGTAGTCCTGTACTGAAACAGGCCCCACACTAGCGAGGATTCCGTAGATCTCCTCTTCAGCTGAATCCAACGGCCGAAATGCCTTTGACACTAATTTTGAAAAGGTTGGGATGTAGGCCGTTGATGAAGTAGATGTTGATCTGACGGTCGAAGACTGACGCGAGATTGGAGGGAACCTGCTGACGCGAAGTAAAACGTGATGGAGCAGGAACCGTTGATCATGTCGGTGTGATCGCGTTCGTCCGTCGTGCTGACGCAACCTGACAAAGTCAGAAAGGACCAAGAAAAACGCCAAGGAAAGAACAGTGCAAAGCACTTTCTCCCCCCCCCTCGAAGAAAGCACACTAGAAAATGTTTCACAGCTGCGCCGAGATGAAAACCAACAAAAAACCAGGCGTTAAGTTCCACGAAGAAGAGTGTTGAGCGGAAAGTTGATGACAAAATCGGGTGTGACGTGCCCAAAAAGTCTTCAAGGGCGAACCCGCTTAAGTAGACCAGAAACCGTGGCAGAAGTTATGCGTTGCTCGAACTGAACCTGTTTTTGTCTTCACACGCCAGAATCATGCAGTATCTTCAGCAGACGCAGCTGGCAGCACCTGACGTGTTTGAAATCAATGGAGTTGTCATGGGCGGGTCGAGTGGATGGATTTGTCGCTAGTAGAGTTGGAACGGTTGTATCCCGAAATCCTCTGGCCGTGAAGTCGGGGTTGGTACGAAAATGTCGTCGGTGAAGGCGATTCGTCGTAAAGTCAAATACGAGCGTCGACGAAATTCGTTGAAGCAGTAACCGAAATTGATTTCGAGCACGATCTAGGGTCAGATGATGTCAGCACCTCCAACGGTTTTGTCCAGACTCGCCGAGCCGTTTGTCGTGGTGCGCCGAAGGCTCCTGGGCAGGGATGAAAAAATGCAGCTGTCTTTCCCACCCCCGCACTATTGATGCTGCCTTCTTCAATTCGTCGTAAGTCGTCCGTACCCCTGAAAACTCCGTGTGGCTCACGCGTTATTTCTCAACGTCCTTTTCGCGCGTGTTTAACCAAACGCCGAATACTCCTCCGAGGTTGTCGGCGCTCCTTGCCGTAAACCTGTAAGTCCCACGGACAAACTCCGAATTTGTCGCTCGAATCTAGCCCCGTAAATCCACAGTCGAAGTAGCAGTTCGCCTCCGAAAATCTCGGACGTGCTATAGCCGCCCACTCGGTCACCATCAGTTTCCTTCGGTTTGCCCGACCCCAGCATGTGGGTACAATCGAGAGCCAGGGACTGCCATGGGTTATTCCGAGACCGAATTTCACGGAACCTAGTGGCATCAACGCCATTGACGTCGTAGACGAAAACTGCTTCCGCCGATGTTACTTAACAAGATAACCCTTTTCTCCCACCAGCGCTTTGCAGATGTTTCACCGCATCGCTCGTCGCCGGTTGATAAGTTCCCGAAGCTATGACTGCTCCCACGCTCCATTTTTTCTGAAGAATTTCCCGAGGTGTGCGTTTAAACACCGGGGGTCCTAGGTCTCCTTGCCGCTGTGTTTCTTGCCAGGCAACTTTGAAAAGTGCCCTTCAGGCGAAGAAAGACCCGCAACTTCATTAATTTTTTGGTCGTTTCACCCCCCCGACAATTCTGCTTCCCGCCGTTCACCCAGCGTCCGCTTTTGTCGGATGGGGCATAGTCGGTGTTGCCCGCGCGAGCCCAGTTACGGTGTAGGCGCAAACACTATCGGAGTCGGGGACCCTTATTTAAAAGGAACTGTCGCCCAACCGTTTTGTAGCCCACCGCGACCGCCACGCCACTAAACTCCATAGTATCCCGGTCCCCGCTTCGCCGCTGCGCCGTCACCTCGTGTAGACGCCCGGGTCAGGAGAAACCAGCGAACTGCACCATTGTTGTCATGCGGCGCCCCGATTTTTTCGCGTGCTGTTTCACCCAGCCCGCTTTTGTCGGAGTACAACAGTGCCGCAACTCCCCTTATTTTTGTTTTTGTTTTTTTTTTTTCTGTACAGCTGTCGAACGAGCACCAACCCGGGTGCCTTTAACCAGCGCAGGGTAGGCCCGTGTTCACCCCCCTTATTCGGCCAGGAGTGGTCGACTGCATAAATCGGCACTGCTACCTGGTGGGGGTGGTGAGGTTCGGGCGACGGAAGGTCACAGGCCGTTCACACCGGCTTTTAACCTGCCCTTCTCGCCGTTTCTCGACCCCCGCTTAGCCGTCGGGCAGTTTCTTCCCGTGTGTCCCGGCGGCCTGTACCGACTCCTCCGTAAATGTCGGGGCAGTATGTTGAACGCCGTTTAATCGTGGGTCGCTTGCAACTGTCCCCGAAAACGACTTCTCTGGTAGGAGAAACCGCTCTCGAAACCGCCGGCCAGCTTGCAACAACTCCAGGCACGCAGCGTCGCACGAGTCGTTTTCCGAGGTTACCAGCCCCGGTTTCCCTCGTCGCCTGCGCCCCACTTCTGCTAAGTGCGATATGGCCACTCCGCTTTTCGTTGCAGCCCAGAAGTGTCGGCGGGTCCGAGAATCCCGTCTGTCCACGTGCACTTCTGCCGAAAACGTTGATGACGCGCCCGCGAATGCAGTAAAGGCCGCTGCACTTAACACGTGGGGCGGGACGGCAGTTGACTCCCGCATAAATCGGGCAGTCCTCGTGGCGTCTCTCCTCGTCACCAGCTTTTTCATACGCAAACCTCATTTGCGCCTGGCGAGTTCCCCAGCCGACCTTTTCTTCACAGCAGATCCGAAAGCGTCGCCCACAGTGACGCCACGTCCGCTGACGCCAGCTGCCACACAAACTTCCAAAATCGTCCGTAAATCGCAGCAGAAATAACTCACTTTTAACGTCGTGACAGCTACAGCTGTCCGTTGCCCGGGGGGAGGGAGGCCACGGTCGATCGCGACCGTTCGAGGCAAGGATCTGGCGGTGCCGAAGGAGTGCCCGTAAAAACATCGCCGCAAGGAGCAACTACCTAGTTCTCCTGGCCGGCCTACGCAACTCCTGGACCCCAAGGCATCCTTCCTCGTCCCCCCCCCGAGGGGTATTACACTCTAAAAAGCGGGGTGAGCTAGGAAAGTAGCTCTGATACCAGGTGTTATGAATGAACTTGCAGAGTGCGCAGTAAAACGAATATCGAGAATGAACCGAATCAAGTTGTTCCATACAATGAGAAAAGCACGACTAAATAGGGGAAGTCCTAGCTAGGCGGAGAGGTTGGGCGAGGGTGGCTCGGTGATGGTTGCGATTGGTGCGGAGGCGACTCGGGAGTGGTTCGGTGCGACGAAATAGGAAGAACAGGTTCGTCGCGTGACCCTCGGGATGGCCTCGCTAACGAGGGCCCCAGTAAGGATTCTGTAAATCCTTACAGAGTTTCTTCACAATTCGTATGATGGGAGGGAAAGAGTCGCCTATTGACTACAGCACAGTAGTCAACGCATTTCGACTTTGGGCTGACTCGAACTTTTGAAGTTTGACTGGATGGAAGCCTCTGCTCACTCATTGGCTTGCAGACTGAGTCCTCGCGACGCGCGGAAAGCTTCGTCAAGTCCGAGCAAATGCGACGCGACGGGTTTAGATAATGTATTTTGAGGCACACATTTGGCAAATCATCTTCATTCGTTGTTCGTTGAGATACTTGCAAACTACTGCTTCTGATTCTCTACCTCCTACTGCTAGGAAAACTAAATTCGTTTCTGCATGGGAACTTCAGCTGCACTGTAGACAAAACCAGCACAATGACGCAGATATTCTCGTTTCCGCTCAGCCAGCATCGTCGCCGTAACCTGAGCACGGCTTTTCTCCTCCTCTCGCTTCTTCTTGTTTCGTCTCTCCACACAGCATTGGCCTATCACTTCTTCACGGGGCTCCGCGCGGACAAGTTGCGCGGGATGATGCGCGGATGGACGCAAGGCGGACGCTCGACTGGCCAGCAACAGCAGCAGAGCGGCGGAATCAGTGGAAGCGGTATCGGCGGCGGCGGAATGGGGGGTGGTGGCATGGGCGGCGGAGGAATGGACGGCGGCGGAATGGGCAGCGGAAGCATGGGTGGCGGCGAAATGGGCGGCGGCGGAATGGGCGGCGGCGGAATGGGCGGAGGCGGAATGGGTGGCGGCGGAATGGGCGGCGGCAGCATGGGTGGCGGCGGAATGGGCAGCGGAATGGGTGGTGGCGGAATGGGCGGCGGCGGAATGGGTGCCGGTGGAATGGGCAGCGGAATGGGCGGCGGCGGAATGGGCAGCGGCGGAATGGGCGGCGGCGGAATGGGCGGCGGCATGGGCGGACCTGGGTCATCTGCTCCCGGATCACAAGCAGCCATGGGTCGTGGGGGGGGCATGGGCGGCGGCGGAATGGGCGGCGGAGGGATGGGCGGCGGAAGGATGGGCAGCGGAGGCATGGGCGGCGGAGGCATGGGCGGGTCAGGGTGGTTTGCTCCAGGGTCGCAGGCAGCACCCGGCCAGGGTGGACCTGGGATGGGCGGAGGGATGGGCGTAGGGATGGGGGGAGGGATGGGGGGAGGGATGGGTGGAGGGATGGGCGGAGGGATGGGCGGAGGGATGGGCGGAGGGATGGGCGGAGGGATGGGAGGAGGGATGGGCGGAGGGATGGGGGAAGGGATGGGTGGGCCTGGGGGCAACATGGGAGGCGGTATGGGCGGACCACTGTAGTCTCTTGCCCTAAGCAGGGGCAGGTACATGTATGGCCGCACCCCAAATGGCGCACCCTGAATACGGTAGTGTTATCTAGGAGCATGGCCGCAGCAGCACTTCCAACGGGAGGGCCGCCAACAGTGCTGCTGCGTCCAAGCTCCTCCCGAGCACCAGACCAGACTCATCAAGCCAGCAGAATGCCATTCATCACATCCATAAAAAACATGTACCCCTCGTTGAACTCTGTGAGCAGCATGTACCGGTGTCAACATTATTGCAAGCATCCTGAATGTTCTAGGTTGATCTCTATTGCTTTTGCTGTCATGGTTACCTTTCTTACCACGTGGATAGTCTTGTTGTAACGTTGTGCCTAGTGCTTACCGGTACTTGGACTGCTTGGTGTTAAGGTACAGCGTGAGGGGTTGATGCAAAACAAACTTTACCAGGTGGATAAATTGCGGCATGCCACATCCTTTGCCATAATTCACAAGCAAGTTACAGTCATGTTCTCGACTGTGCAGTCTTCAACCTAGACTCGTTTACCACTAAAGCCCAAGCTACTAGCATGTCACTAAAATCCTGGCCATTACTCTTTGCCATGACACCTGACAGTGAACTGCCAATTTACTTGCCTGTCCTCTATCCTCCAGGAAATCTCCTTCTCCTTCCCTCCTCCCTTTCCTCCACCCACCTCTCCTTCCATTTCTCCTTCCGCTCCATCCTCCTCTTCTCCTCTCTTCTCTCCTCCTCTCTCCTCCTTTCCTCCCTCTTCTCCTCTTTCCTCCTCTCCACCCTCTTCTTCTCCTTCTCTTTCCTCTCCTCCACCATTCTCTCATCCCTCCCATCCTCCTCCCCTTCCACACCTACCACTACCTCACCTTCCCCCCCTTCCCCCGGTCCAACCCCCTCTCCTCCTCCCTCTCTCACCTCCTCCCTCTCCAATGCACCACCACCCATCGCCTCTCCCCCTCCCTCCCTCACCTCCTCTCCCTCCAATGCACCACTGCCCATTGCCTCTCCCAGTCGCTCCCTCAGCAAACTCTCCAATGCACCACTGCCCATTGCCTCTCCCAGTCGCCCCCTCAGCAAACTCTCCAATGCACCACTGCCCATTGCCTCTCCCAGTCGCTCCCTCAACTCATGCATCTCCCTTCTCACCTTCTCCCGCTCTTCCCTCTCCCTCACCACCTCAGCAATTACTGCTCTCTTTCCATCTCTTATGTCATCCAGTAACCTTCTCAGCCCACTCCAATCCACAGCTCTTTCCCTCCCAGCCTCCTCTCTCCTTGCCACTGCCTGCTGCCTATCAAGAGACCTTACTCTCCTCTCCAATGCTTGCCTCAGCATGGCTGCTCCAAACATTGGCTTGAGAATTATAACAAGAGCTTCTCTCACACTTCTCATCCGCGCAGCGCACAGCTCACTGCACGCGGCACATCAGAATGGAAAGAGATGGAAAATAAAAATCGAGATTTGCAAGCAAATGTGAGACGAGAAGGGGAAAGAGCGCAGGAGTGTACAAGACGACGATGAAGAGATATGGTAGATGTTACACGCAGAAAGAAAGGCAGAAAGGAAAGCAGCACAGAGCAAACATAATCCAACGCAGCTAGCAAACGGAAACAGACGGACTGAGATGTGCAAGCAAGAAAATGTGAGATGAGAAGGGAAAAAAGGGCAGGCGCATACAAGAACATGAAAAGATACGATACGTGATACAAGGGACGAGACATAGCCCGGAAGGCAGCACACAGCATGCAGCGCAGCTGGCAAGGCAGTTCAATCATTCTCACATGGCATTGTGGAGTCGGGGGAAGATTCCAAGTGTCTGTGGCATGGAGGGGAGAGAGAGACGACGAGGAGTCGGTATGAGGGAGAAGGGAGAGGGATTGAGATGGGGTGCAACTTTAGCGGCGTGGGAAGACTGAGTGGACAGAGGAGGTGGTTGGTTTGAAGGAGGTGTTTAGGGTGCTGAGTGCAGCGAACGGATGTTGGACGGAACTTCTTGAATACAATGCATCGGGATGAGCGACACACACTCATGGCAAGAGGATGAAATCAGAGACTGATACAAAGTTATTGAACATAAAGCAACAAAGGTGCAGCTTATGGCACAATGAACGAGATTAACGAGTCATGGCATGAACCGCATCACCCATGGCATGGGTTTATCAGCTACCATGAAACATCTGGCATACCATGAGAGACGCAGCTGCTCTCCTCAGATTCATCAGCTTGGCCCCCAAAGCTGATCGCTGCCGCTGCACCCACTCCCTCACAGCAGAGCCCTGTCGCTGCACCCACGCCCTCACTTGTGCTTGAGAAACGTCCATCCACCAGAGCAGCCCCAGGAGAGGACACAGTGCTGTGTAGAGCACGAACAACTGTGGGGGAATATCCACACACGCACACACACACACGCACACACACACGCACACGCATGCGCGCACGCGCACGCACACGCACACAGCAACATCACAGTGAGGCAGTACGTGGATCACGCATGCTGGAAGCTGAAAGCACAAGCAGGGATGCGGAATGGGCTGAAGAGCCATGGGTTCGATGTCACTCGTGGTTGGAGAGACAGCTTGACATGAAAAATCGGTGGAGCAAAACAAAACGCAATTAAATTTTGAATAAACTGGTGAATGCCAGGGGTCATGCCCCAAGCAGACATTTACTCCCCAGCAATGCACGAGTGAGTGTCACGGACGCGTGTCACGAGCGAGTGTGCACGCACCAGGGTTAGGAGGAGGTGAAGTGCAAGAGCGCGTAAGGAGACAGGTTGAACCGAAGAGTCTGCGCTTTCCTCCACCTGAAGAGCAACCAGACCTGTGGCATTGTGACACGTGGCTGTGGCGTTGGGCTGGGGGGAGGAGCAAAACAAAAATGATTGGATTTAGTGGGATAAGCAAAGTGACATCAAGACATCGATAAACTAATACACACCAATTAACTGACATGTTTAATGATCTCCATTGGGATTAACACGAAGTCACACGAACACTCATATGCACCAACACACCGAGACACCCAAACACCAACACACCCAAATACACCCACACGCCCACACTCGAAATTCATACACTCGTGTGTGCACCTCAGGGGGGGTTGGAGGCTGATGCACCAAAGAGTGGTTTGCTTGCAGTTGATGCTCAAGAGAGTTGTTTGCTAGGAGGCCGCTAATGATACGTGGAAGCTGCAAAAGGCAACACGGAGAGCAGAGGTGAGAAGATATGCATTAGAACGGATGAGAGAAGAGAAAGGTGTCAGAGCAGGTGATGGTTGATGGTTGACGTGAGCTGCCATTTGGCCATGCGTAATAGCATAGCTCACAGCCATCCTATCCTATAACCTCCACTCTGCCTGCCTCACTGCCTTCATGATACTCTAACGCTGGCAAACTGACTGAAATTGCGGACTCGCTCTAAGTTGAAATGAATATTGAGGCAGGCGAAGATCGCCTCAAATTAGCCACATACCTGGCGAGTGATGCCGTTGCTGTCAGGCGGAGCATGTCTGAGCGTCAACAGCCTCGATACAATCACACCAGCAAGAGCCACTGCAATTAGCAGCCCTGCCCCCGCAGAAACCACTCTAGCCACTTGAGGCATATCGTGCAAATCGCAAGGGTGAATCAAGAAGAATTATCAAAATGTGACGACGGAGCTTGGCTTGGAGGGGTTTCCCGGAGCTTGAAGGTCGTAAGAGGGGAGGAGAACGAGGTGGTGGGTGCTGGAGCAACCCACAAGGCTTGAGCAGTGGAAAGGTTGTGAGGATGGGAGGCTGGGAGGCTGGAGAATGTTTAGGGCTGTAACGTATTGCCTAGTCAGCAGCTCCCTGGTTTCCCCTAATCACCTAGCTATGCTAGGCGCGACCTACGCTAGCTAGAAAGTGTCGAGTGAATTGTGTGTAGGGAAGCTAGAGTGGTTGGGTTGGGTAACATTTGTCACCAACCACCACAAAAGGACAAACCAGGTTGGAAAACGTTTCAACCCTCACATTGGTTGGAATTCCAACCAACCAGAATTGAGCAGCATTGTTGTTACACCTTATCTTGCAATTGTGTGCAGGTGATCAATGTTCATTGGTTTATAATATTTCTTTGCCACCTAAGCAACCCCACCTTTGGAGCTCCTCCACCTTGTGGCCATGGAGGAGGAGAAGCTCCCCAAGGAGGTATTGGAAGGGGTCTGAGCGAGGAGCTCATTCCTGTCATTCCAACTTCCAACAACCCAATATTGGAAATGGGATTTTGCCTAAGTCTTTGCTATTCCCCTCACAACTCTAGCAAGCCTAGCTCTCACATGTGAAAGTTCTCCAGCCAAGGGTTTTCTTAGCTGAGACTCTACTTCTGCTACTACGAGCTTCTACTTAAGAGCTCCACGCCATCAGCAAAGTGACTATTGATTACGTGGAGTATTTACGTGTAATTTCAAGATCTTGGACTGTAACTTTATAAACTCTATTATTTTAAGCATGCAGCCCGTTGCTTATAAGGGCAAGGCTGTTATAAGGGCAGTCGGGTGGTTGGGCTTGGCTTTGCGCAGGGTGATGGTGGAGCTCGGTAAGGCCGAGCTGCGCATGGCGGAGGTGCGCGCGGCGGAGCTGCGCATGGGGGAGCTGCGCACGGCGGAGCTCGGGTCCCGCCGGGTCATCCCGGAGCGCAGTAACACGCTTGCATGCAATGCAAGTAGCAACGTTTGCGAGACCCGGCGAGGAGCGAACCAGCAGCACGCCATGCGAGGGTGGATGGGCTGATTGAAGTGCGCTTCGATGCCACGAGAGAAAATCGAAATTCCCTAAGGCTCTCTGCGCTCGTGCTCACGCGATGACCACGACATGCAGCGGAGTTGCTGGGCGGGATTCCTTGAGAACCAATTTCGCGGAAGTCCTCAGTGTTCTCGCCTTGTTTCAAGGCTACGCCTTCCCTAGCGTCTAGCGCCCCCTGCCTTTTGCCACGTCAAGATGGCCGAGCAATTCGCAGGATTGCAAAATCTCTCCAAGTGCCCGACGTCAATCCCTCCAAGACTACGGAACAGCTGTCGGAAGTTCAGCCGTTTTCCAACCAAGATGTCATGCGGGGTTGCTGTACCAGGTCTCATTTATCCACTGCACTTTTGTTTCCAATAACGAGGATCCGAGTTTTGAAGAGGCTTGGTTTGGTTCGGTTCGGTTCGGACCACTTCATACCGAACCGAAGAATACGCTCGGGAGACCGTGTTCTACCCATCTTCCACGCCGTTGTTCACGCCTTGACGTTTTGCTCTCGCTTAGTGAAATGCGACGTATTACAATTGATGCGACGTGTGCATTGAGTCGGACGCCCCTTACGATTTTTTATGCTCATCGCACAGGGAACATTGGATTCGTAGATGCTGTGTTCCCGCGGGCAGATTATTTTAGCATTGCCTTCATGCCGCCGATGAGAGTGGCGATGATGTGGGTTCGCATGACGAGTCGCGATGGGCCTCAGCTGCCGACGGGGCAATTACGCGAGCCGTCTATGGTGGGAGGGACGTCGACGTTGACGTTGGCGTCCCGGGCAACGTCCATCGATGATGGAGATTTAAGTGTTGAGACAGACATCCACCCTTGCATAAAACGATGCTGCTGATTCTCTCCTCGCTGCGACCCCCGAGGTGACACTGCCTAGATCTGCCATCACGCTGCCGTGGCCTCTCCTGATGGCTGCATGTCTTGTAATCCCCGCCCTGTCTTATCGTCATCTCCATGCTCTATCATAGAGCATCGTCGAGTTGAGCCATCTCGACTCTACCTCGCCTTTGGGCATTTGAACTCACCTATTGTTCGCCTGACGGATTAGTAGTCTCTCTAGTCGTCCATCTCCTGCTTTCCATTTCCAGCACTCCTCTTCTTGGTGTCTCATCAGCAATCGCCCCAAGGGTGGTGCTACTCGGCTCGGCTGGTAATCTCTCCTGGTTTCTCCCAGCTCATCGCCATGGCTCGAATGGCTGGAGTGGCTATGGCGGTGGCAGGGCTGCTAGTTGCAATAATTCTTTCTGTTGTGACAGTATCGAGGCTGCTACGGGTGAAAAGTGACCCTCATGCGCGCGAGGCCTCACACACCATATATGAGTCAGATTGAGAGACATTGAGACAGATTCCGATCCACTTCTGGATACCTAAGAAATCTCGGTCGGGGTTTATTTGCCACTTGAGCATTACGGGGAGAAGTGGGTTGGTCCATGTTCATGTTGACAAGATTCATGCTATGTGATGCATCGGACCTTGTTATTCAAAGCATGGAGATCTGCTGTGGTGGCCCCCGCGCCATGTGAAGCTCGTACATCACCCATCAACCTCTACCCTTGGCTTCTTCTCTCGCCTTTCCTTTCCCTTGCCTTCCACAGCTTCCCTAAGAGCCTGCCAGCCTGGAAGCGAATCAGTTTCTTGTGCATCAACCGGCAACCCTCCTTGAGGTAGTACGCACAATCCACGCTTTCAAAGAAGATGCAATTTAAAACTTTCCTCTGTTTCTTGTTCAGTCACCCTCGTGGAAACGTGGATGTGCAGGGGGTATGACTAAGTTGGAATATACGCTACTTTCATTTTGCGTTTTGGGTTTATACTCTTATCGAATTCGTACGCTGCGTATAGTTTGAAAATTCGCCGAGTTGAATTTTGGGCAGACCGAAAAAAAAAAAAATTCAATCTGAAGCTCACAATGTGACAATCTCATTTCCGAGTCGCAGATGTCGCGAAATGATCTCAATTTTTGAATTTCGAGCTCCAAACCTCAGCAACCCCTCCCCTCCACCGTTACACACCCCTATTAACGACAGCATTCCACCATCCCCTCCAACTGCTACTTTACTGGTTGGGTGCTCAACCCAACCCAATATCCGAGGCATAAAGGGAGGCATTTGTTCACTCGTCATTCATTCTCTCGCTTCCTATTCGAGCTACCTCCTCTCCCAAGCCACCATGGCTTCTACTACTCCTACAGCAACAACTTCTTGTTCGCCACACTCAGAGGCTCCTGGTAGTTCCGCAGGAGGGACCTCATCTGTTACTGCTTTGGTCTGCATGGACAGCAAGCACCCAGTCTACCGCCACTTCATGGTGCCGGCTGATAACGTGGGGGAGAACGGCACCAAGGTGTGTGCCTACTGCAGCTTCGAGTTTGTTGGCGGGACGTACCGCTGCGCGCAGCATATCACCAGCTGGACGGGCATGCGCCGTCGTGAAGTGCATCTTTGCACTGAAGCGCCGAAGACTGCACGGGACGCCGTGAAGGCGGTTTAAGAGAACAAGTTCAAGGCCCGTGAAGCAAAGCGTGCGGCTGAAATTGCGGCGGTTCCGACAAGAAGAAGACACGGATGACCGACTTCAGCGGCGACGACGCCGCGTGCGCGAAGCAAGTTGCGGACGAGGTGCTTTGCCTGCTCTTTGCTGCTCTTCATATCCCGGAGCATCACGCGGACCACCCACTTTAGCGGAACGTAGTCTCCACCATCGCGCGCGCGGGGACGGGTTACGTGCCGCCGAAGAGACGCTACATCGGTGGCGCTGGTCTTGCAAAATGTCGCCAGTGGATTGAGGCGGCACTCGGTCCGATCGCTGCAAGCTGGCGTCGTGACGGCGTCACTGTTGCAAGCGACATGAGGCCGGCCGCCCGCAATCCAATGTGCTCCTCATCAACGATAGTGGAGCCGTGTTCGTGGAGCCGATCGACACGAAGATAGAGATGAAGACCGGCGGCTACATTGTGGGCATCTTGCGCCCCGTCATCGAGAAGGTTGGTGCGGAGAATGTCGTCGCCTTGTGTTTTGACGGCAGCTCCATTTACGCGGCGGCCTGCAGGGAGCTGATGACAGAGTATCCCCACATAGAACACATCCCTAGCGCGACCCATGTCCTTGATCTCCTGATGGAGGACATCGCGAAAATGGGATGGGCGAAGGACATCGTCACGCGCGGAGACACCATCATCTCGTTCGTCCGCAACCATCACTTAACCCGCGGCTACATGCGGAGCAAGCTCGTGAACGGCGGCAAGGGGAAGCAGGTTTTGAAGCCCGCGGGAACCTGCTTTGGCACCAACTACATCGCCATCAGCCGCCTCTGTGAAGTTTGCTCCGGCCTGACGCAGATGGTCCTCAGCGATGAGTGGCTCGAGTGGACGACGTCTGCATAGAGGGTTGGGGCAGATACTTTCAAGAGCAACATCCTCGATGACATGTGGTGGATGCGCGCGGAGTTCTTTGCGAAGCTGATGAAGTTTCCGTTCGTTGTCATGCGCAAGACGGACTCGGATGCAAAAGGCATGATGGGTCGTCTCTACGACCTCATGCTCCAGCTCACTGAGGACATACGGGACTTCCTCGACGAGCACGCAGAAGGGGTCCTGACAAGGGGAGAGGTGGGAGATATTTGGAAGGTCGTGCAGGACCGTAAGGACAACGGGCTGGCGTGCGACATGCACGTGGTTGGTCGCATCCTCAACCCCACCAACCAGGAAGAGGGCATCTTCCTCCATGACCTCGAGTGCACGAGGATTTTCAAGAAGTTTGTGTCCAAGCACTTCGACGACCAGACCATCACCACGAAGGGCGGGGTCGAGCGCCGTGCCTCCCTCATCATCCAGGAAGGCCTCATTGCCTTCATAAACCTGACGGGCTGCTTTGGCATGCCCGACGCTATTGCCGACCGTGCGGCAGTGAAGGAGGGCAAGATGACCGCGGTGGCCTGGTGGTCGTGGTAGGGGACCAAACATCCCGAGCTCACCACGCTTGCTTGCCGCATGCTCACGCAGCCGGTGTCCACGTCACCATGCGAGCGGAACTGGGCAAAGTTTGATGCCGTGCATACGGCACGCCGGAACCATCTCGGCGCGGAGAAGCTTCGGGACCTCGTGTACCTGACGCACAATTGGCATGTTGTGCACAATTGGCACAAGCTCCCTGAAGGGCAGGGGGTGGTGAAGGGAAACATCGAGGAGCCCCCCACTCCGGCTGGCTACAACGTCGAGGAGGAGGTGGAGGAACCTAAGGAGGGGGAGGATGATGTGATGGCCGATGAGTACTAGTGGATGGAAGGCACCATATATGTGTGGGGGGCAGGGGATCAATGGTGGACCTGTGTGGAGTAGGGGGAGGGAGGGGCGGTAGTAGCATGATTAAGGTGGGGGAAGTAGAAGTGGCAGATTAGTTTTAATGGTTTTTTTTCCTGTAACTTACATATTAATTTAAAGGGGATGGGGGTTACAACACCCCCCCATCCCCACCTCTTACCCCAAAAAGCTGCCCGGGAAAAACCTTTTTCCTGCCTGGGCAAGCGTATTCTTGTGTGTACTAGACCCCGCATGGCCTGCGTTTTGCGTATATACTCTGGCGTGTATACAAAATCGTACAAAACGCAAAATGCGTTTTTTCCAACTTAGGGGTATGATATATGTCACACTATAATCGTGGTAACATGAATCCGTTTTCTAGATTTTTTTTTTCTTCTGTTCTCGCCATGCACTTATGTGTATACGTCTGTGTTCCATGACCTTTGTCTCTTCCCTCCAGCCCAACGGCACTGCCACAGGTCACAATGGCACTGGTGTGGCTCTGCTTCAGTCTCACAAAGGCGTAGACCCTTCAGTTCAACCTGCCCGTTTTCACCTTCTGCCACTTATTCTCCTTCTCCTTCACACTCTAGTACGTGCTCACTCACTTTAGGTTCAGCTTCAGTTGAACCGCTCTCTTTGCCTACACGTCCCCAACTCTCATCATTCGTTCGGTGCTCACCCTGTGTTTGCCTCTAACTGTGGAACATTCTGCCCTACTGCTCCATGCACACGTGTGTGACCCCAGCTATACTCACTATACACTGCACTGTGTCCGCTCATAGTGCTCCTTTGGTGGATGGACGTCACTCAAGGGCAAGTGAGGGAGTGGTTGCGCCTCTGGGGCTCGGTTGTGACAGCTAAGCCGCTGAAGCTGAAGAGAGCAGCTGCGTCCTTCATGGTATGCCTTGAGTCATGTGTGTGGTTGTATCGTACAGTGATAGTATTGTGAGTGTATGCTTTGAGTCTTGACATAGCTACAATGATGAGTAGGCATGAAATATGTCTTGACTCGTTATCATGCCATGCCTTCCATTTTTTGGTCCCTTATCAGTCTCCGAAGTCACTCGTCATCCATTCCAGTTGCACCAAGCACCTTCCTATCTCACTTGTCCCTCCTGGTGGTTCCCTCGTCTATCTCCCCCATCTCTCTTCCCTTTTCCCAGTCGAACGTGATCTCTGCCATCATCTGCTGCAGAAACTCGACAACTTTCCACTTCCCTGCAAAGCCATGTGAGGATGTGCCTACCCTCCCTTCACCTTCCCTCCATTTTCTGTTGTTCGTTTTTATCAAAGCATGCAACGTACATATCTTCAAGAAGCTGGTTAAAGTCATTGTGTGCTGCCTCTACGTGGCTTCCCTTGCATGCGGGTTGCCCCTCTCTCACCCATGCTCCAGTGCAACCATCCCTTCATTCTGCATCGCTCATCCCCTGTCATGTGCTGCCATGTGCCACCTTCTACCATCATGTGCAGTGAGCTTGGCAGTGCCAGAATGAAGATAATAATGAGGGCTGTTGTGGTGGGACTGAGTCAAAGAGCGGGAACAGACTTGCTGCAAGCTTCTATGGAGATTGCAGAGAAGAGAATAAGCACATTGGAGAGGCACCTGGAAGATTCAAGAAAGGAACTGGAGGAGCGTGAGAGAATGAAAGCTGAACTAAGTGAGCTGAGAAGGCAGGTGTAGGAGATGAAATGTGAAGAGCAAGCACCGAAAAGGGAGCTGGAGCAAGAGAGGGAGGAGAGGGGAACAGACGTGGGTGAGGTGACGTACGTACTGGCTCGGGGCAATGCAACCATGCAGCGAATGCAGAGGGAAGCAGGTGACATGGTCAAGGCTGTGCATGCGCTGAAGCTGACGGTGGACTCGGTTGTTCTGGCGGTGCGAGATTGTGCCAGGAAAAGTGGGCTGGTGGGAGCCAATGAAGGTCTGGCTGCATTGAATGGAGAAGTTTCTGGTCACAAGACAGCTTCAGAAAGGGAGATGCATGAGGTTCGGGAGATGTTAGGAGGTGTGTGGGAGAGGAACTGTGAGACGGCTGGTGTGCTGGAGCAACGGGGGAGAGAGTTGACGGAAGTGAAATGGGAGTTGGCAGTAGTGAAGGGACAGCTGGCCGCAGTAGAGCAGGAATCGCTTCAATTTGAAGAGGCTGCAAGTAGGGTAGAGACTAAATCGAGTGATGGAAACTTGGCACAAGCGAGAGTCGATTTGTCTCAGCAGATTATTGCGGAGGTGGATGAGGTGAGAATGAAGTTTCAGAAGAAGAATGCGAAGTTTGCAGCTGTGCTGAAGCAAAGGGAGAGGGAGTTCGCAACAGTGAAGCAGCAGTTGGCTGAGTTCAGGAAGGCTGCAAAACGAGAGGCGAATGAAGGCTGTGATGCCATCTTGAACGGCACGGCAGAAGGAGGGCACTGCGAGCGGGTTGGTGAAACAATTTGGCAGGTGAGTGGCATTATGGTTGAAATCAAGGCTGTGAGGCTCGCAGATTTAATCCGTGTGAACCCTTCTTTTCGTAATATGCTGGCTGTGTTGTTTTCCTCATTTTCTTTCTTCTTCTTCTTCGTCATTATTCTTTTCCTTCTTACCCTCGTGCACATGGAGAAGCGCTCATGCCTTTTGAACCTACTGCCCTCGTGTTATCCCCTCCTTTTCCAGAGACTCCAGTCCGCCTCAAGAAAGCCCAAGCTGGATTTGAGCGGTCTTTCGGGCCTCTCTGGTGCCAGCGCCAGCCTTGCACGTGTATCCACCATGACCCACCTGACCGCTCTCAACCTTGATGGATCCTCGGGCTTCACCATAAAGGGCATCAGTTGCCTCTACAAGCTCCCTTGGCTGGAGAAGCTGCACCTGAGTGCGACTACTGCTGCAGATGGGCACTTGAAAGGCATTGAGGGATTGAGCAGGCTCGAGTGTCTCTCTCTCGCGAACACCGAGGTGACCAATTCTGGCCTGGTACACCTCGTGAAGCTACCCGCCCTCAAGCGGTTGGACCTTGCTGGCTGCAGTTGTGTCATATCTGCTGGGATGGCGCATGTGGGAAAGATCACCACCCAAAAATTGGTTGATTTGCGATGCACCAGGGTGGTGGATGATGGGTTGCAGCAGCTTACTACTCTAGTGAAGTTGGAAGAGCTTCTTTTGCCCTCTGGGAGGTGTGTCAACTGCAAGATGCTCTGTTTCAAGGTTGGCTGCAAAGGGAATAGAAAGAGATGGGGACGGGGGGTACGAGTTATGGGCAAGGAGGGGGGGTAAGGGGTTTCCAAGGGGAGGGAGAAGGGGAGAGAGATGCGGAAGGGTGGGAGGGAAAGGTGGGACAATGCACGAGTGCGAGCGCGCAGGATGTTGCCGAACAAGGAGATGGAGGCATGGCATGGGGAGTACATTGCGGGGAGAGAGCAAAGGCAGAAGCAAGGTCAGGCGAATGCTAATAGAGCAGAATATGAATTCTTCAAGCTCTTTCGCTGATAATTAGGGTGAAGGCTGGTGTTCCATTGTTGGATCGCCAACGGTGCTTCCCTCATTCATCACGTTGGCATGAATTACATACCCACCATTTTGGTATGAGATTGATTACTTCTGATTCTGTGATTCCCCAGATAAAAGACTTTCTATCTTCCGAATCTTTCATCTGTGAGAACCCGCCTTTTGGCATACATACACGAATTTAGGACTTTCCTTCCATGTCAATTGTGACAATGGACGGTAGCACCCTCTTATGAACTTGTGTACATATGGGATTCATTTTTTTAGGTACGGTACTGCTACCTAATCTTTGGCATGGCACTCTCAGTAGTAGAACAGAATCTGGCGCGAGTAGAGGTTGGTGGATGACGTATTTTGATGGGAGCTTGTATCAGGCATGCATGCCGCGTGGGGTGAGTGGTGCAGCTTGTGGTTGTGGGCCACAGGCTACAGACTGAATTGCAAGAGCACAAGGCTCTTGTGAGTGTGTGTGAGCACGCATGTTGATTGTACCATGCAGCTTATGGGGCCTAGCGATGATACTGTAAGACCGTATGTCCCCATCATGTTCCCATCATGTTCAAACAGAACATGTGAAAGTTGTCAGAACAGGTGAAAGCGAACAGTGGTGAGTGATATAAGCTGATCTGCTGTGTGAGCTGAACTGCTGTGCGAGCTGAACTGCTGTGTGAGCTGAACTACTGTGTGAGCTGAACTGCTGTGCGAGTTGAACTGCTGTGTGAGCTGAACTGGTGTGTGAGCTGAACTGCTGTGTAAGCTGAACTGCTGTGTAAGCTGAACTGCTGTGTGAGCTGAACTGCTGTGTGAGCTGAACTGTTGTGTGAGCTGAACTGCTGTGTGAGCTTAGCTTTTCCCGTGAGCACTAAGCAGCAGCATGGTTCACAACCATCATAGGTATGACAAGCAGCAGCGCCATGCCCATACCTTAGGACTCTCCTCAACAGTCACGCCATCAAGTTTCAGAGTGGGGTGAAAATCAGCCACATACCTGGGGGGTGATGGCGATGCTGTCAGACGGATGTCTCAGCAGCAGCAGGGAAGATCAAGGAAGGATTATCACGCAGAGAGCAATAAGCCTCGAGCTGTATGGCACAGCCTAGCTTGGGAAGGCTGGGGGCATCGGAAAAATATGAAACTGCCGAGTATTGGGGGGGGGAGGGCGAGGGGTCCTTTTTTGAGTTGGGAGGCCGGTCATTTTTTATGATAGATGAGGTGAAATTCGCACTACCCTGCTTCTCGGCAGTTTACCATCGGATGTGCTGGGTTTATACCTGCAGATTGTCGAAAGCCTTTCTACTCGTTTTCTCCCCACCCCCCTCGATCACCATTTACCTCTATTAACAGTCGCGCACTGTACAGGTGGACCACAAACCATGGTTTACGTGGCGTTTTTGCTTGGGTGCTTACGAGCGTTTTCATTGGTCCGCTATCTCAGACAAATATGGCGATAGATCGGGAGATGTGTGGGGCTTGTTGCCAACCAGCACTACGTACGCAATTTCTACTTTGTGGGAAAATGCTGGTTGATTGTTGCCACGTCATCCAAGTATCGGTAACTCTTTATGTAACCAATTTGCAGTCATGCCATTTATGGAACAGTTTTACTATGTGCTTTGTTTTTGTTTGGCTGTTCGTTTTTGCTAACTTTTTTTGTCACCACAAGAGTTTAATAATGTGTTCTTAACATTAATATTTTTTTTTACACAGTTTCCAACATGTTATTATTATATAATGACTTGTACAATTATACTAATGTTTTGATTACATTTCTTCATCGTGTAAAAACTGTTGTTATGAATGTGTACTGTATTTTGAGTACTGTTATGGTGATATTGTAGACGTAGTTACTGGTTTTATATGTGGTTTGGTTGTTTTAACATATACATGTTCACTGTCTTGTATCGAAGCTAGTTATTGATAAGCAATTTTTGTTGTTTGTTTCTAAACATATAATTCTCTGCCAAAATGCCCCGCATCTCACGGTTCATCAATTCGCCAACAGAACGCATTTCCGGTCCACAATTATTGGTGCATCTCGTATGAATCGTGCAGGAACGATGTACACCGTATAATAAAAACATTGTACATCAAGTCACCGCTTTGATCCTCATTATACCGCGCTGTCAAAGCGAGCCCTATTCGTGCGGGACTCCATCACTCCTCCCTCCACACTCCACCCATCCCTGAGATTCACTCCATAATTCACTCGACATCTAGGCAAATCTGTGTTCAGAAACGTGAATCTGGCTTCCATTGTAGAGATAACGCAACGACCGTTCGTCGCCTTAGCAGCCGCGTCGCGCTAAGCTGCGACGAATCTGCAGCAGGTGAAGCAACGGCGATACCCACGGTTTTGAATCTACACTGATATCCCCTGCAATTTACAGCTCCACTGTGTGCACCATCATCACAACACCTGCGGTGCGTCATCAATACCCTAGCTCGAACTGGAACTGCCCGCAGTGATAGAGCTCCAAGCGACGTCACTGCGTTGCCGCCGCAAGAGACGTTAAGGGCCGGTGAACTCCATAAGCTGCTAAATCTAATTTTTCGGCGAATCGCAAGGCAGCAATCCGAGAAGAGACCCCGCAAAAGACATGGACATTGGCGAAAGCGGATCATCGGCGACATGGACTGCGACACGATAAGCTGTGACAAGCACGGCATAGAGAGGCGGCGTAGGAGGAGGCGGTGCCTCTCTCTTTTGACGGAGCTTGGCGCAACAAGCGGCGTGACGCGGTCGCGAAAGGACCAGAGAGAGGGCACATACGTGTCCACGACGCGAAAAGGTGAGCTCTCTGACGGCAATTTTACCTCCCTCCCTTTCACGAGCCTACCGCCCCACATAGTGCCCACGCCGTGTCAATCCTGAGTTGTAGATGCCGGCAACTGCATCAGGAAATCTGCGTTATACATTGACGTGGCGTGAACGAACATAGCATAAGGAAGCAGCATGTATGTTCTTTACCGCATTCTCTCTCTCTCGCCCTGCCGCATTCGCTCACTCTCGCTCTTCCGCATTCTCTCTCTCTCTCTCTCTCTCTCTCTCTCTCTCTCTCTCTCTCTCTCTCTCTCTCTCTCTCTCTCTCTCTCTCTCTCTCTCCCTCTCTCTCTCTCGCTCTGCCGCATTCTCTCTCTCGCCCTACCGCATTCTCTCTCTTGCCCTGCCGCATTCTCTCTCTCTCTCTCTCTCTCTCTCTCTCTCTCTCTCTCTCTCTCTCTCTCTCTCTCTCTCTCTCTCTCTCTCTCTCTCTCTCTCTCTCTCTCTCTCTCGCGCGCGCTTTGCCGCATTCTCTCTCACGCCCTGCCGCATTCTCTCTCTCTCTCTCTCTCTCTCTCTCTCTCTCTCTCTCTCTCTCTCTCTCTCTCTCTCTCTCTCTCTCTCTCTCTCTCTCTCTCTCTGTCGCTCTGCCGCATTCGCTCTCTCTCGCTCTTCCGCATTCTCTCTCTCTCGCTCTGCCGCATTTTCTCTCTTGCCCTGCCGCATTCTCTCTCTCTCTCTCTCCCTCTCTCTCTCTCTCTCTCTTTCTCTCTCTCTCTCTCTCTGTCTCTGTCTCTCTCTCTCTCTCTCTCTCTCTCTCTCTCTCTCTCTCGCTCTCTCTCTCTCTCTCTCTCTCTCTCTCTCTCTCTCTCTCTCTCTCTCTCTCTCTCTCTCTCTCTCTCTCTCTCTCTCTCTCTCTCTCTCTCTCTCTCTCTCTCTCTCTCTCTCGTGCGCGCGCGCGCGCGCGCTCTGCCGCATTCTTTCTCACGCCTTGCCGCATTCTCTCTCTCGCTCTGCCGCATTCGCTCACTCTCGCTCTTCCGCATTCTCTCTCACTCTTGCTCTGCCGCATTCTCTCTCTCTCGCCCTGCCGCATTCGCTCACTCTCGCTCTTCCGCATTCTCTCTCTCTCTCTCTCTCTCTGCCGCATTCTCTCTCTCTCGCCTTGCCACATTCTCTCTCTCTCGCCCTGCCGCATTCTCTCTATCTCTCTCGCGCGCTCACGCGTTCTGCCGCATTCTCTCTCACGCCCTGCCGCATTCTCTCTCTCGCTCTGCCGCATTCGCTCACTCTCGCTCTTCCGCATTCTCTCTCACTCTCGCTCTGCCGCATTCTCTCTCTCGCCCTGCCGCATTCGCTCACTCTCGCTCTTCCGCATTCTCTCTCTCTCTCGCTCTGCCGCATTCTCTCTCTCGCCCTGCCGCATTCTCTCTCTCTCTCTCTCTCTCTCTCTCTCTCTCTCTCTCTCTCTCTCTCTCTCTCTCTCTCTCTCTCTCTCTCTCTCTCTCTCTCTCTCTCTCGCGCGCGCGCGCTCTGCCGCATTCTCTCTCACGCCCTGCCGCATTCTCTCTCTTGCTCTGCCGCATTCGCTCACTCTCGCTCTTCCGCATTCTCTCTCACTCTCGCTCTGCCGCATTCTCTCTCTCGCCCTGCCGCATTCGCTCACTCTCGCTCTTCCGCATTCTCTCTCTCTCTCGCTCTGCCGCATTCTCTCTCTCGCCCTGCCGCATTCTCTCTCTCGCCCTGCCACATTCTCTCTCTCTCTCTCTCTCTCTCTCTCTCTCTCTCTCTCTCTCTCTCTCTCTCTCTCTCTCTCTCTCTCTCTCTCTCTCTCGTGCGCGCGCGCGCGCTCGCTCTGCCGCATTCTCTCTCACGCCCTGCCGCATTCTCTCTCTCGCTCTGCCGCATTCGCTCACTCTCGCTCATCCGCATTCTCTCTCACTCTCTCTCTGCCGCATTCTCTCTCTCGCCCTGCCGCATTCGCTCACTCTCGCTCTTCCGCATTCTCTCTCTCTCGCTCTGCCGCATTCTCTCTCTCACCCTGCCGCATTCTCTCTCTCACCCTGCCGCATTCTCTGTATCTCTCTCTCGCGCGCGCGCGCTTTGCCGCATTCTCTCTCACGCCCTGCCGCATTCTCTCTCTCGCTCTGCCGCATTCGCTCACTCTCGCTCTTCCGCATTCTCTCTCTCTCTCTCTCTCTCTCTCTCTCTCTCTCTCTCTCTCTCTCTCTCTCTCTCTCTCTCTCTCTCTCTCTCTCTCTCTCTCTCTCGCTCTGCCGCATTATCTCTCTCGCCCTGCCGCATTCTCTCTCTCGCTCTGCTGCATTCTCTCTCTCTCTCTCTCTCTCTCTCTCTCTCTCTCTCTCTCTCTCTCTCTCTCTCTCTCTCTCTCTCTCTCTCTCTCTCTCTCTCTCTCTCCCTGCCACTCTCACGCTACCTCTCTCTGCCACTCTCGCATCCCCGCTCATTGGCGCTCTGGCTCTTTGACGGCCCCACATGCTCTGTCACACCCTTTTCCCTCGTCTCCCTGGCCAGTTCACCGTAGGAGAGGGCTGCCTGTTGGAGCAGTGGTGACACACCGAACACTCCTCGTGGAGCGAAGAGTTGTTCAGTTCCCTGTGTACTTCGTCAAGGTATCTCAAAACAACAACCCCCCCCCCCCCCCCCCCCCCCACCTCTCCTAATTTCCTATCTTGCCCCATGCACGCCCTCTCTGTCCCATTCACTCCCACTCTGCCCGTCTCACTCCCTCTCTGCCCCATTCACTCACGCTCTGTCCCATTCACTCCCTCTCTGCCCCATTCACTCACGCTCTGCCCCATTCACTCCCTCGTTGCCCCATTCACTCCCTCTCTGCCCCAGTCAGTCCCTCTCTGACCCATTCCCTCCTCCTTTGCCACGTTCACTCACGCTCTGCCCCATTCACTCCCTCTCTGCCCCATTCACTCCCTCTCTGCCCCATTCACTCACGCTCTGCCCCATTCACTCCCTCTCTTCCCCATTCACTCACGCTCTGCCCCATTCACTCCCTCTCTGCCCCATTCACTCACGCTCTGCCCCATTCACTCCCTCTCTGCCCCATTCACTCACGCTCTGCCCCATTCACTCCCTCTCTGCTCCATTCACTCACGCTCTGCCCCATTCACTCCCTCTCTGCCCCATTCACTCCCTCTCTGCCCCATTCACTCACGCTCTGCCCCATTCACTCCCTCTCTTCCCCATTCACTCACGCTCTGCCCCATTCACTCCCTCTCTGCCCCATTCACTCACGCTCTGCCCCATTCACTCCCTCTCTGCCCCATTCACTCACGCTCTGCCCCATTCACTCCCTCTCTGCCCCATTCACTCACGCTCTGCCCCATTCACTCCCTCTCTGCCCCATTCACTCACGCTCTGCCCCATTCACTCCCTCTCTGCCCCATTCATTCAGATGAGCTACCGCTGCCCTGCCTGCAAGGTCAACACCTTCTTGACCCAACAGGGCATGGAGAGTCACATGCGTAGCTCAAGCTGCCCTGCAAAGCGTGCAATGACACCTACGCCGTACTTCACAAGTAACCCTGGGTTGCATAAACGCCCTCGCATACCCACCGTAGCACCCAATCCTATTCCCACTGCAGCTGCTTCGACTTCAGCCGTGCCCATGTCAACCCCTCTTCACGAACATCTACATGCTTTTCCAGTGCCATGTACCGGGGGTGATTTTCTGACAGAGGTGCATTTGGATGATAGTGCTTCTAGCAACGTCAGTTCTAGTGATTCCGAGAATGCAAGCTTACCATGTGATGCAGATGATTATATCGTGCGGGACGACATTCAGGAGGGAAGTGATGGGAACGTGTTGCCTGATAACGGTCTAGCTGCAACGTCGCCCGAAACACCCTTCAATGGCAGGGATGCATTTGCGCAATGGTTGCTAGCCAACAATATCTCCCAAAAGGCAATCAAAGCCTTGTTTGACATTCTCTTCCACCATGCATTTGAGCTCTCTCAGCTGACAGGATGGAAGTCTGCGCGCGATGTCCAACAGTACGTCGAATCACGGGCCCCGGATAAGCATCGCGGGTGGAGACGCAAAACCGTTCGAGCGGGGAACAAGGCATGGCTCGAATATTGGTACTGCGATGGACTGGTCGCTCTTCAGGATCTACTAAAGGACCCCAATCTCGCTCCAAAGATGAGCATGGAGGCTCGCGTCGTTAAAGATGGCACCATGCGAGTTTACTCAACACCCGAAATCGCGCTATGGTGGGAGGAGCTTCAAAAGAATATACGTGAAGTCAACCCGGAAGGTGTTGTCGCTGCTCTCATTCTTGCAAGTGATGAGACCCATATGGATCAGCGTGGGAAGGCTAAAGGGCATCCCGTGTATTTGACACTAGGAAATATTGACAAGGAAGATAGGTGGAAGCCCTATGGGCACGTCTTGCTTGCCTTGCTCCCGGAGTATCCCGAAGAGTATGATTCCCTAGATAGGACGCTGATCTTCCATTATATCATGAACGAGGTGCTAGCGGGGTTGAAGCGTGCTTCTCATACGGGTATAGATATGGTCGACTCGGCGGGGAAAACAATCAACGTGTGGCCATCCATGTATGCACATGTCACGGATTACCCGGAATCGTGCAAAGTAACGTGCACGAAGTCGGGCTCGACGAACTTTCCTTGCTCACTATGCAAGGTTCATAAGGACAAGCTTGCGTTGTTCACCGACCGCATTCAAGCGCGGACGCCATCTGAGCAACGCGCCATTGTTCTCTCGGTGCGGACAAAGACGATCCAACCAGATGGCGATGACGCCATTTCGACTCACCCGGTCCAGGTATGTTCCAAGCTCCCCTTCCATTTTGAATTATGTTATAACCCTCGTCTAACTATCGTATGCTATATAAGTGCAGAGTTACCTTTGGGGATGGCGGTGGGAAGCGGAGAGCTTGCTCAACCCGTATCTTGCGGTGCTTCCTGATATCATGCATCAAGCCGACCTAGGCCTTTTCGAGCACATTGTGGATAGCATTCGAGCGCACATTAGGGAAAACTATCCCAGGAAGATGAAGTTGCTAGATCAACGTCTAAAACAACTTAAAAAGTCCACACGTGGTGGATGCATGAGGCTGCCATCGGGTGAATACTTCGCCAAAGGTGCCAATTACCAAGCGTTCGAGCATCGTTTGGTGATGCAGGTTCTGCCCTTTATTGCGAAAGGGTGCATTACGGATGACCAAATGGAAGCTTTGGTTTCGTACATCGAGTGGTACTTGGAGTGCGCACGTGCATGCGAGCACACCGATGGCAGTCTGCACGAATTGAAGACCAAGGCTCAACGGTAAGTTGCTTATCTATTCGACGCAGTATGACATGCCGCAATTAGCCTACTAATTCTGGGTATGTTCACAACCCAGTTGTCGCGCAGGATGCTCTACCGTTTGACTACACATTTCCCGTAGACATCGGACTAGAACTTCATCAAGATGCATCTCGTTAGCCACTTCATAGATACGATACGGTGTTCAGGCTTGCCAGACCACTACTCTGCACAACTCTACGAGCACTTGCACATTGAGTACATAAAAACTCCCTATCGCTCCTCGAATAAGCGTAGTGTGAACGCGCAGGTGGTACACAGTGAGGTACATCGCTTGCATTTGCAGTCCATTGCACCCATGCTAGCCAAGAAGAAGACGTACGACACAGCCATGATCAAGGTGAGCTAATTCCTCTATTCGCAAGTGTGCATGTCAAGTACGACTTGAATCTCAAACACGCATGCACATTGCTGTTAACGTCTGCAGGCATAGCGGACAGGCGTGCGTGTGCTCTCGCGACGATCTTGGCTCCTACACGTCCCTTGCGGTCGGACAGTTGCTCCTTTTTGCGTCCCGAACGCCGCACAACCGAAGCGTGACGAGAAGCTGGAGAAGGAGATTGGGGCAGATTTGGCACACCTAAGAGCGGCCCTTGACGCTGCCCCTGGGTGCAACAACCAGGGGTCGAACATCAAGAGCATGCAGGTACAATGTTTTTATACTATAGAATACCGTTCACTAGGGCGACATCATCTCTAAGCCCATTGTTTTTGTAATGCCAGCAGCAGTTGACGCGCAGTACAGCCGACTGCCCCATCGTGTACGTGCCCTGCCAATACACCATGGACGTCCATGGTACTCAGACGTGGTGGTGAAAAAGGAGACCGGCAATGGGACGGAAGAGTGGTACTCTAAGGTTCTTTTACTATTTCACTGCAAAGTAGATGGGAGGACCATGGAGTACGTGTGAAATTGAGAGAACAGGAATGATTGACTATGAAATGAAATCAGTACAAGTAGGAAACCCTAACTGGGTTGTACCCCCTATGGGATACCCCACTACAGCTTACACAACAGTATAAGCTGTATATATGTTCTGACACACCCCCATAGGCAAAGTGGGGGAGAACAAGGGGTCACAAGACCAGTCAAGCAAAGCAAAACAAAGCTCAGGGTGGATCACAAAGTCACCACACAGTCCGAGCACAAGAGCAAGGCCAAAGGCCAGTTCACATGCAAGAGTACAGACATATATATAAAGCAAGACAAGCAAGAGCAGGTATATATATGTCACAGTACAAGTAAAGTCAAGAAGAGAGCAAGTGAGGCAAGACAGGCACAAGACCCAGCTGGGTACAAAAGCGCTGATGGTCACAAGGTGCAAGTGCCTTGGTGAACACATCAGCAGTGTTGGCCTCAGAGGCCACGTACGCAAGTCGCAACTGACCACGCTGCTGCAGCTCACGAGCAAGGAAGTAGCGGAGAGCAATGTGCTTCGTTCTGTGCTCCAAGCGCTGCTCTCGACACAAGGCCAGCATGGCCTTGTTGTCTACGTACAGCACTGGAGGAGAACGAGGCGGCTCTCCAAGGTCAGTCAGTAGGTAGGTGAGCCAGCGAAGCTCCTGTGCAGCCATGGCCCCGGCGTAGATCTCAGCCTCACAACTGGAGCCGAGAACCGAAGACGAGCGAGTAGACCGCCACGAGACAGAGCCGGAACCAAGGCTGAAGGTGTAACCCTGTGACGACCGCTGCGTAGCCTGGTCGTCAGCCCAAGAAGCGTCCGCGTGGCCTGTAAGGACCACTGGACTCCGCCCTCCAAGCACTAGCCCCATGCCCGACGTACTGCACAGGTAGCGCAATACCCTCTTCGCTGCAGCCATGTGCTCTGGTCGGTGTCTACCAGGAGCAACATAGCGTGCAAGAATGCTCAGAGGGTATGCAAGGTCAGGTCGTGTGCAGGTCATCAGGTACATGAGGCAGCCAACAAGCTCTGCATACGGACCACTCGACTCTACGGACTCATCCGAAGGCAGAGCTGAGAGTGAGTGGCGAGTAGGTAGAGGAGTGGCCTGAGGCGAGGAGTACGTGAAGCCGAAGCGCTGAAGGACCTGCTGCACCATGTGTGACTGAGTCAAGGTAATGGTGCGGCGTGCTCTGTCCCGAGTGATCTGCAAGCCAAGGTAGCTGCGCAGTTCACCCAGGTCTGTGCACGTGTGTCTCTTCAGCAGCTCGGACTTCACGTAGGCGAGTCCAGCAGTGTCCGCTGTGGCAAAGACCAAGTCGTCGATGTACACGAGGATGTAGAACGGCGGCAGTGAAGTGTCGGTGCGCAGAAACAGTGACGGGTCAGCAGTAGAAGGAGCAAACCCAAGAGCCGCAAGCGTAGTCCTCAGTGTGTCGTGCCACTCACGCGGTGCCTGGCGGAGACCATAGACTGGCCGTCGGAGGCTCCACTGGGTGCCAGGAGGGAAAGTCCCAGTGAAGCCAGGCGGACGGCGCAGCCAGATCTCCTCGTGCAGGCTACCCTGCAGGAACGCAGTGCTGAAGTCGAGAGAGTGAAGCTCGTAGTCGCGCTGAGCGGCTATGTGCAGCAGCACCCGAAGAGTGGTCATCTTCGGGGTGGGAGAGAAGGTCTGAAAGTAGTCAACTCCCTGCCGCTGACTGAAGCCACGAGCAACGTACCGCGCCTTGAAGACTGGTGGAGAGCCCGGCGGCCGCTTCACCCTGAAGATCCACATGCCACTGACGATGTTCGCCCCAGGAGGGGGAACCGCGTCAACGTAGGTGCCTGTGGACTTCCAGGAAGCCATCTCTGCATCCATAGCTGCCTGCCACTGAGAGGAGTAGGGACCCTCTACGGCCTCCGCGTAAGAACGCGGAGTCGGGATGTCTAGTGCATCCGGGTCTCCCTCAGGGGCAAGCAGTACAGACGCGAGATGAGGTGAAGCAGCCGCTAGACACTGTAACTCCTCCTGCCTGTCCTCTAGGACGTCCGTGCCAAGAGCACACTCACCCCCGACGGACGGAGGACAGACAGACGCAGACTCAGCAACAAGACTAGCAGCGTAGTCTAGACGACAGCGAGCAGCAAAGTCGACGAGCTCAGCGACAAGAGCAGACGCAGCAGT